GCAGGAACTAGTTAAGGGCCATCACAGGAGTCCTAACAGGACACTGGATAGTCAAATACCACCTAAACAAAAGCGGATGCAACGAGACGGATTGTACTGCAGCGAGGTAGACGAAACTACTGCAGACTATATGCAAGTGAGACACCTCGGGGAAAGGTATCTGGAACCAGAGGAAAAAAAGTATGCCCGAACAGAGCGGGTCTGCGCTTTTCTTAAAAGTTGCAGGCTCCAAAGGGAAGGAAGGGCTTCACCTAAAGGGGGTTTGCACAATGGGCTGTATTAGGGTGATTCATTTCCGCAAAGTATTTGTTTTTTTTCGGTGCTCAAGCAAAATATTAATCTGCATATATATATATATATATATATATATATATATATATAGGAAAAAACATTCTCACCAAGTTTGAGCTCTTAATATTAATTTTAAGCACTTATTAACTGCGATATGGCCATGTGTACCATTCCCAACTGAAGAATCGCTGCCAGAAATCTAACGAGAATTTTAGACTGTTATTGCACGCTTGGTCCGGCTAGCATGTCCAGCTACTCCTACGACCGTTATGGAACGATTACCGGTTCAAGCCTATTTGGATGGACTTCGGGACAAAGAAACACGACAGGCTCTGAAATTGGCTCGTCCGAGCCAACTAGTTGATGCATTGGCTCGAGCATTGGAATTCGAGGCGGCAAAGCAGAGCTGCGGGAGCCAGCCTAGAATTAGGAGAGTCGAAGAAGAGAAGAAGGAGGAGCCCAATATAATGGAAGAAATCAGGCGAGTTCTTAAAGAGAATCTACCAGAGAAGAAGGAAATCCGGTGTTGGAGATGTGGAAAGCTGGGACATATACAAAGTCGTTGCAGAGGAAGCCAGGTGGAACCAACTTCATTTAGAAAAATAAATAGGGCTGAAGAAAAGGATGTGTATATTCGCAGGACTACAATCTTGGATGATCATTAGCAATCCGCTGAGGTTCAACAAGACCAGGAAAGAGACCCGGATTTAAAGCTCATCATCGATTGGAAGAAGAACAACTGTAAACCAACGTGGCAGGAAGTTGTCCAATATTCGACGAATGTGAAATCATACTGGGTCCAATGGAATTCCATCATCTTAAGTGACAGACTTCTAAAGCGCGTTCTGGAGACTCCAGAAGGGGGGAAGACCGGAAACAGTTAATAATCCCTAGAAACAGGATACCAGAAGTGCTGCAGGAAATCCATAATGAAACTTCTGGAGGACATCTTGGGGTGACCAGGACGGTTGGAAGACTTAGGGAACGGTTTTATTGGGTCAATTGTCAACGAGATGTAAAGGAATGGTGCAAGAAGTGCGCCGTTTGCGCGGCAAGCAATGGATCCCAGAAGCGCCCAAAAGCTCCAATGCCACAATACAATGTGGGCAGCCCGTTTGAGATAATTGCAATCGACGTGGCGGGTCCAATTCCTGAAACAGAATCTGGAAATAAATACATCATCGTTGTAATGGACTACTTTAGCAAGTGGGCGGAAGCTGCCACAGTGTCCGATGCCCTTATTAAGGAGTGGATTTGTCGTTTTGGTGTGCCAATGGAGATGCATTTAGACCAAGGCATAAACTTTGAATCTATATTGTTCCAGAATGTCTGTAAGATTCTTAACATTCGGAAGACGAGGACTACTGCATTACATCCGCAGTCTGATGGAATGGTAGAACGAATGAATCAAACGATAAACCGGTAGTACGGTACTAGTACCTGTCCAAGGTAGTCTCTGATCACCAAAGAGACTGGGACCGCTTCCTCCATCTGTTCCTGTTGGAGTACCGATCTTCTCTCCACGATACAACCGGCCAGACACCCGCTAGCATTGTTATGGGACGTGAACTTCGTCTACCTTGTGACCTGAGGTTCGATTGCCTACCAGGGGAAGACATTTCTGGAGAAGATTACGTTAGCAATTTACATAGGAAAATGAGCGACATTCACAGCCCAGTTCGATTTAACATCAAGTCGGAAAATGGAGGATTTTAACCTGGAGACCTAGTTTGGTTATACAACCCTCAGCGCCTTGGCTATTGACCGAAGCTGCAGACTTCTTAAGAGGGACCTTACAAAGTCATGGATTGAATAAATGACATTATCTCCAGAATTAGGAAACAACCAAGAGGAAATTGGCTCCTTACGTTGGAAACAATGCTCAAATAGACGATGCTAGAGTAAGGAGGGTTAATCCGCTGGACGAGTTACCTTTTGAAGACTTCATGTACTTATATTCGAGCGGTAAAAAAGCTCGCTATGGTGTCACTCGAGAAGAACAAAAAGATCTGTTCAGGGTTTAGGCCGATTACTCCTTGGCTCACTGTGTTGCAGAAGACCTTAGGAGACCAAGGGAATAGCGGTTGTCTTTAAAAACAAGTTTGGACGGGTCGACGAGCTACGAAAGCAGAGTCCCAATGTTGGAGAGGTGCTTGAAATTGTGGATAATGAGCAGAAAGGCAACCCTGCTTAAAATACCCCATAGAGACCTATACAAAATAATCTATCGGGCGCTACCGGATTCTATATGTGCATTTGTCCATGGGTTTTTCCGGATACAGCCCGATAGAAAATGTATAGGAAATTACCTATAGGCACACCATAACTTTTACATTTTCCCTATTGAGACCGATAGAAAATAACTCAATGAAGGATATATAGGGATATCCCTATAGAGCAACCATAAAACATTTGACAAAATTTTATTAAAACCTATAGGGTCCTATAGGGAAAAGACTAATTTCTACATTTATGTGTATTTTCCCCATTGAAACCGATAGCAAATAAATCAATGGTGGATATCCCTATAGAACAACCATAAATCTCAACTACGGGTCCTATACAAACCGATACACCCTATAGAAACACCATACATCCCGATACAAATATCTATCGGTTTGAACAGGGTCTCTATGGGGTATTTTAAGCAGGGAACAGAAGTATCTTCTATCTGGTAACGAAGCAGCTCTCCCATCAGAAGCCAAACTACCGTGACGTATGGAATGCCTTAAATAAATTGAGGGATACCCTTTTGTCTAAGGACATCATGAACCTGGCAATACCAAAGATTGCTTGTGGACTTGACGGTTTAGACTTGAAAATAATTAGAAGTATGGTGGAAGTTATCTTTAGATTTAGTGGCATACACATTCTGTTGCTACAACCCTAAAAGAACAACCGGATGGAAGACCGTGGACTCCTACTTCTATAGGACGTCACAATGCAAGTTTGGATCTCTATGCAAATATCGCCATGGAGCTGAGAACTATTTTCGGGACAAAAATGTTTAAAGACGGGGGCAATGTAGCGAGTTCACCTCTGGATCTCGGAATGATGATTCATCGCCGGTGAGTCAGCGCTCGAACAATCGAGAGCGGTCAGGAGCTCGCTGGAATATTCGGGAATGCACGTAGGCACTGAATATATAAAAAACAGCGCAGCATGGTGAGTCAGTCAAGTTTTGGTACTCGCGACGAAATAAATAAATATACGTGCAAATAAATAGACTCTTGATATATAAATAATTAATTGTTTAGTTAGTTTCATAGTGTTTTAAGTGTAATTAAGTTATAAAATAAATAGTTTAGTTCGTTAATAAACCAGTGCGTGTTTTAATTCACACTACGAACAGTAAAAACGTTATAATATCATATGATTACGTTTATTATAATTTTAATTGTGTGTGAAAAGTAAAAACGTTCAGTGACAATTGCTGTCATAAATAATACACAAACTTCCATGTCGGGTAGTTTTTACGGCCTTTTAATCTTTCCAAGGGAAATTATTGCAACGACATTTTCTTTAACACGTTTTTTTATTGTCTTTTTTTCTCACACCGTTAAACTTAATAAAACAATTTTTTTGGAACTGTATCTGTGTACTTTGGCCCAAAACCTGATGTTATTTGGAAGTAAACCCTTATTTGAATATTAATAGTTTAATATAACACATAATTACAATATAAAATTGTGAAAAGTAAAAACCTTCGGGGACAATTGTTATCGTAAAAATACAACTATTAAAAATCCTAGCATCCTATGAGCGCACTCGTTCCACTATCGGTGCGCAATAAAAACATAAAGCAACTCTTTGGTAGTGAACATAAATAAACATAAATCTTTGTTAAAACTTTTATTAAATTAAAAGTAAAAAAAATAATATTGACCCTAGTGCCCAGCGTTTTAAAGGGACGAAAGAAACCCGAAAAAATATGGAAAAAACTGTTTTCTTCGTTTTTCCCAGGACCTTGGAAAAATTGTATTTTTTGGGAAAAATAGATTTTTTTTTTAAATTTATGCCATTTATGCTTTATTTTTACTCAATTTTTTTGAATCCAATTTTTTCGCAGGGCAAAAACCAAAACGTTTTTTTTTTTAGTTTTTTTTGTGCCTTTGAAACACTTCTAGTTTATCTGTTTTTGGACATTTGGAAAATTTGAACAAAATTTACAATTCGTATTACTGATAATAAAAAAAATACAATTTTTCGTTAAAAAAAATGTTTATCCGTAATCGGCAGTAATGTAGTCAAAAATTAGTCAATAATTCATAAAATGTTGTTTAATAAAAATAATAAGTTACTTTAAAAATCGCCGCGGCGGGCAATTATTTAATAACCGTGATATAATAATGTGATTTCGGATTAAATTTAAAATGCACCTCGGCATTAAAGTCATTTTTTACCACTTACGTGGTTATTTGCCTCGGCTTTAGCCTATTAATCCTTGGGTAACAGCTAGATGGCAGGCGGCCTTGGTGGAATTTTTATTACTATTGACAAAAAAATTAGATCCCATTAAATGGGCACAAAGGGTCACTCCTAGTGCTCTAAGAATTCTAGGATGTTATTTGTATTATGCGTACAAGACACACACACATTTAACCGTGTCAACGTATTTACATTACAGTAGCAATGTAGGTAGTGGATGCTCGGCAGATAGTCAAGACGTTTTGGTACGCCGACTGACGTCGTTCCTGTTTTAGCCAGAGCGGACGCCTCCAGTATCCCGCGTATATTGCCGCGGATCGCACGCGGTGCTGTTGAACCGTTTCTTTTTTCTCATGGGGAACCCGTAATTGAGGACGCCATCAACTAGACAGTTTCGTTCGAATTCCTTACGAACAATATGAAATTTGTAAAAGGTCAGTGATTTGCGGAGGAGTGTGTGTTGCGTGTCGCATCTGCTGTCCTCATCCGACCGACACGAATACCTAAGCCACTAATGCACATCGGATCAAACTATTTTTATTATTGGGATTCCATGCCGCTTATTTTCATCCCGAGCGCTCACAACTATTTTACCATTACGCACATTTTTAAACTATCTTTTAACCCTCACATGCCACCTTTTTTTTTATACCGACTACCGACCCATATCATTTTATTAATTAGCCAGAATAAAATTTATACCAGCATTTTTATGTATACAAATAGACTTAAAATAGATTTGTTGATATGAATAGTTTTTCTTAAAATCTGGCAAATATGTAGATGAATGTTTCCATTAGGCGTTCGAGCCAATCGCACAATATTATAAATAAATTTAAATAACAAATTTCTAGAATAACAAAACTATTTATATTTATTTAAACTATTATATTTATTTATAACTATAAAATACGGTTTATATCGATATTAAAATTATTGTTGTATTACCGAATTTAAATTAATGAATTCCTGAGCATTATAAACGGTCCAATTTAATATATAAATTGTATAGGTACTTAAAATTTATTTTATATATTAGTAAAGTAAACTAAGTTTGCAAACAATATTTATTATGATATAGGGTATTTAAATAAACTTTTTTTACTTCGTAAAATAAATAAATAATTTAAAATACTCCAAATATATTGTACCTAACGATTTGTTTGTTTCCATAAAAATCGCTATTAAATGGAATATTTTATCTTATATCTTACATAGTGTTAATAACACGGCATTTATTTTTTTTACAAATAATAAAATAACTTCCCAGAAAAAATATGAATTTAATTTAATTATCAATAATAATTAATTTTTCAGACAACTCTAAAGTTATTTACATGATGTGTACCACATTTTTTACAAAAATAGAATCTTTGTCATAAACACAAAATATTACAAAACCAAAATAATTTTTATACCTTTGCCAAGAAGTATTTTAGTTTTGTAACTTGTAAATACTATCTAATTTTAATTAATTATTGAATTTTAAAATTAGTTTTTATCCACACAGCCATAATAGTATTTTCCACAATAAAGTATCTTAAAAACTACCTAATTAATTATTGAAGACTTTTATTTATTTATGCAACAAACTAAATACAGATTATTCAAAACATAAAAATGTTATCTCAATTACAATCAGACCAATACCTTCTTAAAATATAAGAGAGGGTGAAAAATAAAAAGCTATTGGATAATTACTTTTATATTGGTAATAAGTAATTACTAATTACATTATAATGAGATGGGGTGACCATTTAATGATGGCTTAAAGAAAGTCTTTTCAAAGACCCCCTTTTATGTCTATGACCTGGGGGTAGGACATTTGTTGTACTTTCAATTTAACGCACTACCAAATGAAGGGCCGATTCAGTAGATTTTCCTGGATGTTTATTGTGTGTTGATATGGATGCAAGGGGTGCGTTATTTCTATTGCATCTCTTATATGCCCATCACACCACCTTTTCAATATTTTAAAAAGAACATATGCATTAGGGGTTAAAGATAGGCCCAGTCTCTTAGGGCTGGAAAGACATCGTCCCTTTCAGGAGTGAAAAGGGGTTGGAATTGTTTGACAGTCCATACTATTTTTTTATCGGTCATAACAGAGGTTAGTTCTGGCTATTGAAAGTATTTTTAAAAGTAGCTCACGTGCCTCTCCAGGGTTTTCGTATAGGACCCGTTCTCGCGATTTAGACAACAAAGTTATTGGGTGGGATGTTTGGATAAAATCCTTTTTAGCCTCACCGCCACTGTGGTGAATTAAATGCTATTATAGAATTTCATTTATTGTATTCTTTGTATCCTTTGTATCCTTTTTATAGGCAGGCTGTGATTTTTTTTAAAATAGTTCTATCGTTAACATTTTTTAGAACACTTATCTTTCTTAAATAGCTTACCGAGCTTGTATTTGATCTTGGCTAGTCCTATAAACCACCAAGCTGTTTTTGTTTCTGTGGTAGTTGATTTAGTTGAACTGCTCACAATAATAACCTTTTGAATCCCAAGAACAAAGAAAATAATTAAGAATTGTAGGAAATAATTAAGCAGTAATCTCTAAGGTCTGTCGGTATAGGTAGAGATTCCAGAGTGTTTTTGTAGAGCTCAAGGTCCGTCCGCTAAGGATCTCTGTACCTTTGATTAAACAATTTTGATTTTAAATAGGATGCATCTAAGCTGTAGTCTGCTGAAAATAATAGATTCACCCCTGCTGTCTTCTTTGTTGTTGTCCGCTGTATGCTACTTGGATGAGGTGAACAAAACTGCAACAAAAGATTCGCTTTTCGTTTCCTAGAAATAAATATAAAAGTTCTGAGTTATGTCGATAATTTGTATAACAGTAGGTGTTTTCTGGAGTAGCAGCTTTAGAATGTACGATCCCTGGTTCCTGAATTAGGCTAATTTTATATTGCGTAACGCCGAGTTAGCGGGTTAAACTCCAGTTCAGATATGGATCTCCGCACTAGATTTTATCCGCAGTTACAAGATTCAATTAGTCCATGAATTAAATAAGGATGATTTTACCAGTGACTGGAGTTTTGAGAAACTTTGAGCAAATGATGATGATAGTTTGCTTTATAACATTTTTTCCACACTTAAACTCCTCAAAAATTTCTGAGCAGGTATTTTCTGAAATCATCTAAGTGAATAATTTTTTTTTTATGGTAACCTGACAGGATAAATCTATATGGAATTATCTACTAGAAAAAGTAGTTAATAACTTACTGGTTAATATTGCTCACCACGATGACTGCAAGACCATTAAATTTTCCAGCAAGAATAATCATCTTCACAATATGCACTGCGTATTAGATAGTTTTTGGACCGAGTGTTTCCCGAATTATGGATTGGACAAAGAGGAGCTCTGGATTGGCCGGCCAGTTCTCCATATTTGACTTATCTAGACTTTTCCTTTTACGCCATTTAAAAAGTAAAATTTACAAAACAGAGTCTCTACAAGAGTTTCGATAACGTATCATGAAAATGTCGTGAAATAACCACAAATACTACAAAATAAAAGACAATAAAAAATATATTTTTGCATGGAAGTTGGTGGCAAACATTATGAGCACTTAATACAATAATAAATCTTATTTCAATGTTCTACAATTTGCATGCTCAAACAGAAAATTCTCATAATTAAACAGAAAATTTTCTGTGATTTTTTTTTAAATACGAAACAATTGCGCTGTTTTATTTTAAATATCTTGGAAACGAATAGATAAAATATTATATAATTTGATTTTTTATTATACTCAAAAGAACTTTTAAATGATGTATCACTTGCCCTATCATGCCATTTTAAAAATTCAGAAATTGTGACCACTGCGCGAAGGGGTGAAGCGATTTTCAATTAAAATATATCTTAAGAGCGAAACAAATATAAAAAAGAGACTATTGTGTCAACTAACCCAGCGTGTAAAACTTTTAAACCAAAAATTACAGAATCCAAAACTGGTCGAAAATATACAAAATTACACATGAGCATACGTTTTATCTTATAAGATAAAACGTCCCACTAAAAATAATTCTCCTATTTTAGGTACTTCTTCGTCCAATGGACCGCAATATCTCGATTTAACTTCTTCAGTAAAGAATTTTAAAACTTAATCACATCAATATCAAATCATTGTAAATATAACCGATAAAAGTAAAATATATCAAAAGGAAATGCAAAACTATTTTAATATCATTAATTAAGTATAAAATTAACATTATTTTTCAAAAATTAACATTATTTTCAAACTCCCAACGATCGAAAAGGGGACTAATTAACGGATGAGGCACGTTAATGAAACAAATAACTGGTAACATGGATTCCGAAGATGACAAACAAATCAAAAATTCACTTGATTTAATTAAACAAACCCAAAATAATCTAAGTAATACAACAAATTAATATCCAATTTTCTATTAATAAAGAAATTATAAGTACCTAAATTTATTAAAACCGCCAGTGATGTAGAGCACAACGAACAAGTTATTAGGTATCTCCAGTTTAGGTGTTTTAGAAAATATAATTAATAATACAAATTCTCATACAGATACTCTATTTACTAAAGATAACCTAAATAAGTTTATTTACCTTTTTGACGTTGTTCTTAATGAATTTTAAAACTCTCTATTATTTTGTAATCTAAATATTATTCACCCAAGTATAATCTCTGACGAAGACCTATTTAACGAACTTACTAAATTATCGCCCTAATTTAAAAATAAACTTCCATTTTCAGTAAATAATATAAAAAAACTATAAATCTATTATAATTCAATTACGAAGTAAACTATTTTCTTAAAATCCCTTTGTTTAGTTCTAAATCCTTTCAATTGTATTATTTTATGCCCATACCAAATAAAAAATTCCAAACGATAATTTCATCAACCAGATATATAATTAAGTCTCAATCTGAGTTAGTTTCCCTAGCGACTATTTGTGACAAACTACCCAACCAATATTTTTGATCGAGAAAATTAAAAACCTTTATAAATATATCATGTGAAGCAAACATACTTAATGACATCACTCACTGCCATTTTACTCAACTTAAAGAAGAAAAATTAATAGAATATACGTATACCAGAAATTAATCAATATTTTGGAGCGTTTCCTAACAAAATTTCGTTTAAAACTAATTGCCAACAATCCCAAGAATTAAAACAAATAAATGGAATATTTTTGTTTAAAAATGAAGACAACTGTGAAATATTCATAGAAGACCAATTATCATATTTCAATGATAGTACAACAGGACAGCCAATAATATTAGAAACCACTATATTACCCACAAAATTAAGCAATTTGGAACTTCCACCATTAAAACTAAAAAATCTTGGTACAGCCGATGTATCCAGCAATTTACAACGTTTGGAACCTCTAAGAATAAACAACCCTTGGCACCTTTCCGGAACAATAATTTTGTACGTCATAATTATT